TACCGACCTTCCTTGCCATCTGTTCTGTATAATCAATAGAATTCACGTACAAACACATTCATAAACGTACGGCGATATAGTGATTTTCCAAGCGTAGTTTAGATGTGACACAAGACCGAAAGTATGGGGCACCCAGTGAGGATCGAACTCACTGCTCGGTCGTAATTGTTCTAGCGAGACAAGCTTGCTAACCATTACACCACGTCAGGATGCCCAAAGCCACGAAATAGCAATTTTCCAAGCCTAGTTTAGATGTGACACAAGGCCGAAAGTATGGGGCACCTAGTGAGGATCGAACTCACTACTCAGTCGTAATTCTAGCGAGACAAGCTTGCTAATCATTACACCACGTCAGGATGCCCAACATACGTCGATATATACAAGCGAAACAGAAGCACGCATATTCCGTGGTGGAACTCTACTGAGTTCTCAGTAACCATAGGACTGTGCCCCCTGGAGCCACGACTACTATCACCAAGCCGCTCACTCTAGAGCATTAGAAGCCGGTTCAAGCAATGATATACACAGATAGTAATTATTAGGAGGATTTGATAATTATATTTTATCATACCAACTGTTCCAATGGGCCTCACTACGGAATATGTGAGCAAGTGGCGCTATATTGAGTCTGATTTGCAATCTCTTCGTCACCGAGGCCCATTAGAACTGTTGGTATCATGTTTGCTTGACAACCTAACTGTCAGGGTTTCAATTCTCAGTAGTGGATGCGCACTGCTGATGAGTCCCAAATATAGGGCGAAACGGCCGTCCAGTGCTTTCTGCATTCTGTTGAGGTTTCTATCGGAGTAAACTAAACAGTATTTTTTATTTAAATACCGGCCTGATTATTCAATAGGAGTTTTAAAGCATTATTTCGGGCCTTGTTTAATCAAACGGTATTTAGATAAAATTTCAGGCTTTTGCTTAACCATTCGTCCACTGTTAAGCATGTCAGATCTAAAGACGGTTCCCCGGCGTGGATACGGGTTCGAATCCTGTTGGAGGATGCATATTTTCTGACAAGAATTCCCGTAATTAGATAAAAATTCTGTTTAATTTACTCGAATATGAATATCCATCTAAAATAACGTTTAATTGGATTTAATACATTTCTGATATATATATATATATATATATATATATATATATATATATATATATATGCAGATACATGGTACCAAACCATATACTGAAACAATCCCATTTCATTTCTTTAAATAATATCAAAACAGTATTTCGTTGTGCATAATACGAGAAATTTGGAACAAAAAGACAAAAAGTGGGGGTCGTGTTTTACATAAGTACATGTTTTCAGAAATTTTTATTCAGCTTAAAAAAAAAACTCTTATTTGAAACAGCAACATTGCAAATACACTCATACATATTACAATGAATAATCAAACACGAAGTAGACAGATGTTGATAAAAATTATTTACGAAAGGTATTTGATATGTCGGCCATATTTTTTGTGGGTAGAGTTAGCGTAACTGAAATTTTTATGTCTTAAAGAAAGAAATTCATAGCCTACCTACAATCATTGCAAACAGGAACGTACAACTGTGAATAAGTCGGGTTTACAAAGAACCGCTTCCCTACCAATTTGCAACAGAAGATAGAAAAATGGTTGGAAACTGAACCCAAAACTTTTCTTTTCTTTTTTCTTAAGCAATTAACCCCAAGCAAGACGGAATTCCCACTGGTTTGCAGGGGATGGGGGGGGTTACATTGAGTGAAGGCGATAGAAAAAAAATGTATGTAAGAGGAATGAAGAAAGGATAAAAGATGAACGGGGTTCAAGACATCAGAAAATGGTGATTGACGTTGCATTTAAATTTTTGAAGATTGTAGTTATCAGGGAAGCAAGTAAACACACAAACACACACACATATATATATAGGCACGGTGTAGTAATGGATAGCGGGGAGCCGAGTTCGAATTCCAGTCGAATCCATTACATTCCCTTACGTGCTAATAACCTTGGGAAAGGTGTGAATCCTCTTCTTCTCCCTCCAGCTATGGGTGAATAGCAGAACAGACTGGATTCAGTAGCCTTGGATGGCAACTGGACTACAACAGAAACATAAGGCAAACTACTTCGGGAAAAAGATCTGTCTCGTCAGTCATGTATCGAAAGATACATGATCACCTAAGCGTATATCACGCATGGCCCATAACTGACTGACTGATACCTTAAAAAAAACATGCCTTTATCATGAAAGCATAAAATTACGTACAAAATATTTAGATTTTGGCATTAACTAACCCATAGATCTTGACATGCCGCTAAACAAATTCACTCAATCAACCAACAATACCTATTTATAGTAAAATTACCAACAATACATACTTAAAGCAAAATGACCAACAATGCATTTTATTTGTAGCTGATGGCGTACAATTAAGTTCATAATATATTTAGTTGGAGCGATAAAATTTGTTCAAAATATTTAGATTTTGACAGTAAATAACCAATTGAGTTTGATATGTGGCTAAACGAAATGAACCAACCAACCATAAGGATATATAATTTTTCTGTTCGTTTCTTTGACTGGCTGGTGTGTGGAGGTGACGGAGTCTTTTGTGGCAAAAGCACCCGAAAGGTTCAGCCATTGAACCTGATTTTCTTGTGAAAATACGTGACACAGACGAAAGAAAAGTCAGGCGAAGGAATTCGAAACAAGTGTGTGGCCATCAACTTCTGCATAGACACTTCACAACGCCAACAATTTTCTCCATAGGAGTTGTTAATCTTACTGTCACTGGTATCCCTAATCCCTTAAGAAGGTAATCTATCTACCCAACTCTATCCATTCACCCAACCAACGTCTCATTTCGATCCAGCCACAACCTAAATATCGGAAAAACAAATATCAACAAACAGGCTGAGATTTTATTATTATTATTATTATTATTATTATTATTATTATTATTATTATTATTATTATTCGACGCCAGAACATTTTCCTGCAGACCTCCCTAGCCCTGACTCAGTTTCTGTTGTAACGGGTCAAATGTCACTTTCGGTACCTTTTGCTGGGACACACGGAGATTTAGGGACAAAATACCGTGGATTTCTTTCGGGAGTTTTCCTGTTGCAAAGAAGAGATCACGGGGTCTTTAATTTTCGTTAGTTTTTTGTTTGTTCTTGTATCCGGATGAGCGTGTGAGATCAGTGCTTAGAGTAATGGACAGAAGGATGCGAGGTCTTTAGATCAGATGGAGTTAAGGACAGAATTTATATTTAGCACTAAAAAAATGACACACGCACATCTCGGGGTTCTTGACAAGATCCAGAAACGGATATGCAATATAATTGGCCCTGATCTGGCATCTTGTCTGCAGTCGCTCTCTCACAGACGTGCCGTCGCATCTCTCTGTGTTTTTTACAAATACTTTCATGGTAATTGTTCCGATGAGCTGCTTTCACTGGTTCCAAGACTTCGCGAATTCAAGAGCCCTACGAGGCTGGCTACCCGCTCTCACCCTTTCATTGTTGAAACTGTTAAATGTATCCGTCTCTTCTACTCCAATAGCTTCATATCTCGCACCTCTCGCCTGTGGAACTCCCTTCCCTATTCCTGTTTCCCTGATAGCTATAATCTCCAACTTTTCAAATGTAATGTCAATAGGCATCTCCAGTTGCCTTGATCTATCCACTATCCTTCTCGTCCTTTCCTCTATCATTCCTATCTGCTCTCGCTCCAAATCCTCTGTAACCCCCTTGCGTGCTAGTGGCTTCCCGCCTTGCTTGGGGTGAAATACTTAAAAAAATATACACATTCATACGCATAGACATAGATATATGCACTTAGACAGACGATGAATCACCTTTGTAAGTATTTGAGATTATTAAGAATAGGTTATGAACGGAGACTGATGTATATATATATATATATATATATATATATAGAGAGAGAGAGAGAGAGAGAGAATAGTTGGGCACTTGTATTGGAGGATACCCGTCTAGATAATCCCTATTGCAGACGCTCGACCAGGCACATTTGTGTTTGTTCTACACCCACAGAGCCCACCTCTGTTTTATACTGCAACTATGCTGAGAAGACCTTACAGATTCTGGGAGAGAGCGTGTTATCTAGAATCATCAACAATATGAACAAAACCAGCACACTCAAACCCTCGGTCATGATGACTTGTGACTTCGTGCTAGCACAGCTATCAACGGCCCCAAGTGTTCCGTGTATCCAATTTCATTCACAAGGCTTGGGTCAACACGTGGTATAATTTTCAGGCACTTTCCAAAGATCCCACACACTGGGATCGTCCTCTCTCCAGAACATCAGGAAGTCTCCTTCATGTCAAATCGACCATGGTGAGATTCGAACCTGGGTCTCATGCTAAGAAAGCGAACATTCTAACCACTCGGCCATATATAATGAAATGGCAATTATTTAATATATAAGAAATATTTAATTATTGTCGTTAAGCACACAAACTTCGACATTCAAGCCGGTAAATGTAATTAATAATGTTTAATCAAAAACTGCATTTACTTAAATAAATTGGATCTTTAAAAATAAGGTATAAAGAGAAAATTTATTAAATAATTATCGGACTTAATCTATTTCATTATATGTTGTCATTTTTTACGTTAAGATACGTTTCGTGAGTAGATATGATCGATCGAGAAAAAATATTGAAAATTCTTTGTTTATAAACATATAGACTTTGCTAACAGTACGCTTCTCTGTAGCTAAATGGAATAGCACGTCAAATCAAATGAAAGTTTCTGTATAGGAATACAGGTTCGATTCCTGTCGGAGAATGCATATTTTCTACGAAATTTCTCGAATATTCAGGCCGGTAAATGTAATTAATATTGTTTAATTAAAAACAGAGAATTTACTTTAATAAAATGTATCTATTAAAATAACGTTTAAACAGAAAATATATGATATATGTGTGTGAGTGTATTTGTGTGTGTTTATATATATATATATGTGTGTGTATATATTTTGTATATATATGCATGTATAGTAACTATATGCATAGATAGATATCAACAGAATTAGATAGATAGATAGATAGATAGATAGATAGATAGATGGCTGCGCCTCGATTTCGACTAATGCCATCGCTTGATTTTTTTCTCAAATAATGACAGAATGGATGTGGTGTTTTAGTACTTCTAGTGTCTTACATTCTTTTGCGCGGATGTGGTAATGTGTTGGTACTTCTTCCAATAGTTGTTACCTCGATATTTTGGTGAACGTTCAATGTGTCGTCTTTGAGGATTCTTTTAGGCCTGCCCTAATTCGGCAAACGCCACCACATTCATTGCACGTTATATCAAATTCTCTTCCAACATTATCAGTGAAATTTACATGAAGACAATCACGAACATCTCTCGCTAGTTTGTCATGCTCGTCACGATTTAGTTCTAAGTCTCTCCTTTTCTCTCTCTCTCTCTCTCTCTCTCTCTCTCTCTCTATCTATCTATCTATCTATCTATCTATCTCTCTCTTACCAGTGTGTACTGCTTTCCTCCGGAATGAATGATCTTAAGTTATGTTTTCCCAGTGATTTTGTAAGATATTTGGCCTTCTGCAGTGTGTTCTTGATACGATCTTTATATCTCAATTTTTGCGTTGTTTTTTTTTTCTTCAGTCAATTCACCATACAGAAACTGGTTAAGGGTCGTATTCTTCTTCATTCTGATCACGACAACTCCATCCTAAACTGTGCTGAAATAACTAGAACTTTCTTCTGGTAGAGTGATTGCGTTCGAGGATATCAGCGTCACTCACGTACCTATGCAACATAGGGAGGAGACACTGTTGGCGAAATTACATAGGGAGGAGACACCGTTGGCGAAATTACATAGAGAGGAGACACTGTTGGCGAAATTACATAGGGAGGAAAGTGTCTCCTTCCTATAATTTGGCCAACGGTGTCCGTTGGCGAAATTACATAGGAGACACTGTTGGCCAATTACATAGGCAGGAGACACTGTTGGCCAATTTACATAGGAAGGAGAGATTGTTGGCCAATTTACATAGGGAGGAAACACTTTTGGCCAATTTACAAAGGGAGGAGACACTTTTGGCCAATTTACATAGGAAGGAGACACTTTTGGCGAATTTACATAGGGAGGAGACACTGTTGGCGAATTTACATAGAGAGGAGACGCTGTTGGCGAATTTACATAGGAAGGAGACACTTTGGCGAATTTACATTGGGAGGAGAGACTGTTGTCGAAATTGTTCCAGGTATCCCTAGACATTATCAGCGGAACGTGGACAGTCTATCCCCGTAGATCAAATATTGGGTTCCGTTCGGAATTCCCTGTAGGTTACCTGGGTCGATGTAAACCTGATTAAGGCCGGGAAGTAAAACAACCGAAAGATTTCAAACACGTGGACAATAGTTAGAATCTGAAGAGCGTAAATAATGATAAAACCTCATTTGAGAAATTCAAACAAAATGTAAATTATAAAATATGCTAAGTGATATACGATTTAATTTAATTCCTATTAGACGAAAGTGAGTAAATGTTGTTGCTGCATCTTTTATTTTCTTATTTGTTTATATTTATTTAGGTTTTTTTTTGTATATATTTATTAACGTAATTAAAGTTTTTTATTTTAATTTGATAAATTATTTATGTATTTGTTTATTTATTTTTAGCAACGTAAGAATTGGTTTTATCTTCATTTTTATGGTCATGTTTGTTTTCTTGGGAAATACTTCTTTTGAAATCTATCATACAAGCAAATCAGACACTACTCTTTGTGATCAATATTCTTGCTCTCGAGCCACCCTGTATATATATATATATATATATATATATATATATATATATATATATATAGAGAGAGAGAGAGAGAGAGAGATAAACATACATGTATATATATATATATATATATATATATATACACACACATATATATATATATATATATATATATATATATATATATATATATATATATATATATATATGCATATATATACATATATATATATATAGATGGCCACTGTATTCTCTTCTCCTGGCGCATTTGTGTATATTCGACACCCACAGAGCCCACCTGTTGTTTATGCTGCAACTATGCTGAGCTCACTTTAGTTATTTTCTGGGTGATCAACAATTTGGACAAGGGCAGCACGCTCAAGCCCTCGGCCACAATGACTTCGTTCTAGCACAGCTGTCGACGGCCCCAGGGTTTCCGTCTACCCAAATTCACTCACAAGTCTTTGGTCAACCCGTAGTATACTATTCAGACATTTACAAAGGTTCCACACGCTGGGATCGACCTTCCAATCCGATATATATATATATATATATATATATATATATAATGCCTATATATATATATATATATATATATATATATATATATATATATATATATATATATATATATATATATATATATATATATATATATATATATATATATATATATATATATATATATATATATATATATATATATATATATATATATATATATATATAGATATATATATATATATATATATATATATATATATATATATATAATATAATATATATATATATATATATATATATATATAGTTGTGTAACCGATGTAATTATTTATCCGGACGCCTTACGTTACACCTCTCTGATCACAGCTCTATTAGAACCCATTTAAAACACACACACACACACTTACCAGACCCCATGAGAAACATACTAGTAGAAAACACAAATATAATAACTTCATCAACCTGTAAAAAAAAGATTAAAAATAATGGAAGCTTTAAAAAGAAAAAAGAAAAGGCCAACTCTTAACAATATTAATTACGAACAAGGCCACAATGTGCTAACCGTATTCGGAAATTAAAAACATCCAAACAACACACTAAAAACATACACATAATGCACACACCCAATTAAGCTGAAAAATTGAATTATCCGTGATAATGGCTAAACGTATAGCCGAAAGCGCTCGGAACTATAAAATATTTTATTTTTGTATCAGATAAATACATTTTTAAAGGTTTGTTTTCACCAGGTTTTATTTCTTATTGCTATAGAGAGTATTTTAGTGTGTAAACGTATCGGAGTCGATAACTGTTATTTTGAACAATGAAATTGCGGCTAGCCAGCTGAAAACAATTGTATTCGCTTTTTTATTAATGAAACCAGGAGACACGTGGATTAAGGAATCGGAGAGCCGAGTTCAAATTCCACTTGAATCCGTTACATTCACTTACGTGCTAATACCTTTGGGAAAGGTATGAATCCTCCTCTTCTACCCTCACCTATGGGTAAGTAGCAGGACAGACTGGGTTCTATAAGCTTGGATGACAACTGGTCTACCGCAGAAAGAAATGGCAACTTACCGCGGGAAAAATCTGCCTCATCAGTCATGTTTCAAAAGATACATGATCACCTAAGCGTGTATCACGCGTGGCACATAACTGACTGACTGATACCAAAAAACATGCCTTTGTCACGAAAGCATAAAATTACACCCATAGAGCTTGATAAACAAATTCAAGCAACCAACAATACCTATTTATAGTAAAATTACCAACAATACATACTTAAAGCAAAATGACCAACAATGCATTTTATCTGTAACTGATGGCGTACAATTACGTTCAAAATATATTTAGTTGGAGCCATAAAATTTGTTCAAAATATTTAGATTTTCGCAGTAAATAATCAGTGGAGGTTGATATGTGGCTAAACGAAATGAACCAACCAACCATAAGGATATATAATTTTTCTGTTCGTTTCTTTGACTGGCTGGTGTGTGGAGGTGACGGAGTCTTTTGTGGCAAAAGCACCCAAAAGGTTCAGCCATTGAACCTGATTTTCTTATGAAAATACGTGACACAGACGAAAGAAAAGTCAGGCGAAGGAATTCGAAACAAGTGTGTTGCCATCAACTTCTGTTGCTTTGTATGGCAACTGGTCTACCGCAGAAAGAACTTACAACCTACTGCAGGAAAAAAAATCTGCCTCGTCAGTCTTATTAATCAAACCACTCTTTTATTCTACCAATAAGACCACGGGAAGCCATGAGAAGGTAAAGCTCAATTACTTGCCTCAGGAATGAACATCTCTCACTGAGACATTTCGAAGTATATATATATCTGCTAGCATTATTTTCCGACATGATTTTTTAATACTATAAACGTTGTTTGTTTTTTGGGGTTTTTGTTTTTTGTTTTTTTTATACACGTTTATGAGCTGACATTTCTTATATTTTAAGCAGAGAAATTAATGTCAAGACGTACTTCTTCTTCTCTGTGCCATGTAACTTCAGGTCATAGGCGATCATCAATTTCCTTCCCTTTCTAATTCTTAATAAATATCATCTTTTTCTTATTTCTCCTAAACCTTGATCCGACATCCATTTACTCATGTTCACTAACTAAATTTTCTGTAGATTTTTGACTTTGTCATCCCTAATAACTGGATTACATGTTAGGCTGCCTCTTTTGCTGACTACCATGCATTATCTCTTCTTCTTACAGTTAATAGTCCTTTCTTCCTGCTTTTCATTACTATCTCACTGTATAGATTAAATAATTCCGTTGATAAGACGCATCATTGTCTTACTCATCTTTCTATCTTTATGTATTCATGGAACTCTTTCTCTATCTGAGTAGACGTTACGGATTACAGGCTATATTCTTCTTTACGTGTCGTGTCCCCTCAGGACGTAAGCGATCATGGCTCTCCACAATTTCCTCTCCTTCCTAGCTCTTAATAAATTTTGTCTTTTTGTTATCTCTCCTAAATCTTGTCCCGACATCCATTTAATCAAGCTCACTAAGTAGCTTATTCGTTGTTTTCACTGTCCCTCTTACCTTCAAACCGCCCCGTGAGTATCAGATTTTCCAAGCCTTTTTTCCTCAGTATGCACCCTAGAAATTTCAACTGTTTCTTTCTGATGATAAGTAAAAGTTTCCGTTTTGTTTCTATTTTCTCTAAAACTTCGTCGTTGCTCACACGTTTGGTTCATAGTATCCCCAGCATCCTTCTGTAGAACCATTTGTCCGTTGCTACAAGTCTCTTCTCTGTTGTTGAGGAGATTGTCCAGCATCCACTGTCATTAAAATATGCTTCCCAACAGAAGTCGGGCCTATA